CTCCTATTCCTGGTCATCTGAGAGATTCCGAAGTGGAAAGATGGAAAAGCACAGTCTCAAGGAATCAGCAATCAAAACAGCTGAATATCATTTTTCTCTCAGAGAGCTGTGGTGGTATTTTTGTGACAAAGGAATAAATCTCTTACCTGAGATTTCAGGTATTGCAGAGTGAGGGGAGGGGTGAGATTTTGAAGTCAGTCTTTTGACTCACCCCCAAAATCCTACTCTGTCAGCAGTCACCACTTACATTCTTTAAGTAGCAAACTATGTTGCAACTAACAGAAGAAATGTAAAACATCTTTTAAAAAAATATTTTAAGTCTGCCTTTTATGCCCTTTAAAATCTTATTTTATTTTTTTTTGTTCCATGTACCATTTTGATTGAAGTTTAATAGTTATCTCAGGGAAAATATACTGGCCCATTTATTACCTTTAATTTATGTTAGATATTAGAATACTTTTCCCTAATATCATATGAACAGACTAACTCATTGTTTAAATTTTCATTATTTAAATCCTGTACTTTTTATATTTGCTTTGTGATTATCAGCTTATCTGAATATTAGAGATGTTTAATGTTAATTTATATTATATATTTGAGAAAATACAGAAAATGGATATTTTAAAAATGTGAAAAAAAGTTTGTCTTGCAAGTCTGTAGAATGAAAAAAAAAATAGTAGTAAATTTATTTGATTTAGTGTCCATGCAATATTAATTCAATGAGAGTGGGTTTTTATCTCTAAAGGTGGCTTGGAATTCTGACTGGATAAAGATTTTTTTTCATGTCTAATTAACTTCTCACATAGGAAGAATATTTTAATTTCCATGCTCTTTGACTTAGGAAAAATTACTATAAAGTACTTTTCTATGCCTTTAAAATTTTTCATATTATTAGCATCTCTCATAGTAGATATCTGATACACCTTGTTATTTGAAATTAAAAAACATCCTAGGACTTGATTTCTGAAGATCTTCTTGCCCTTACGAGTAGATTTGGTTGGGGCAAGTCTTTTAACCTTTCTGAGACTCACCTGCAAAATCCAGTTGCTCTGAGTATTGAGTGATTTGATGTGTGTGACTGTGCGTCCTGCTCCCTTGATTACCATGTGCGTGAATAGTGGGCGCTTCTGAGACTCCTTTTTCAGACCTGAACTAACCACCCCTCCAGCCTCCCCCTGCCCCCATACCTGCCACTGCCACAGCTACTTCCTTGCTGGACAGTTGCCTTTGGTGCAAAGGATCTGCTTCTCCCCAGATTAGATCCAAATCTTGGGAGGGATTGCTTACATCTAACATTTAGTAAGCAGGCAAAGCTAAGGCATGGCTCTTGCCTTCCTTCTGGACAGGCTCAAGGGCCATCCCAGTTCTAGAGCCCCCACCAGAGGCCTCTGCTGCAACTGCATCACATCACCAACTCACCTTCTCTGCTTGCTCCTCTTCCCTCACCTTACCAGTTGCTCCTGAAAACACTCCCTAGTAAGATTTATCTCCCTGCAGGTAATTTGCTAACACAATCTATTTCCTGGGGACCACAATCTAAGACAATGTCTAGGTTAAATTTATTTCATCATGTTTAGTTATATTCACTTGAAATATGTCGAATAGTTTTGTGTGGCTTTTCTGTATTCCTTTTCTCGACCAGACCTCTACTAGTAAATCCTGTTACCATAAGGACTCCCAACTTTTGGCTGCATGCTGTGGTGTCATTTTCCTATTACTGCCTCTTGACAGCATTGTATCCTGAGGCAGCTGAAGCTTAGGTGTTTGCCCTTCCACTCACGCACAGAGGAACTCCCTGGGTGGTCTGCCCAGTAGTTATGGAGAGTTTGGGAACCTGCTGTTCCCCCACAGCTAGTTCTTAACCAGACTGATAGATGGCATTAAAAGCTGGACAGTGGCGGGCACTCCTTGGTGGCGCAGGGGG